CACCTTGGCCAACTATTGGAAACGAGAGATGGCGTCAATAACACACCTGCGGGTCAGAAACAGCATGCCCTCATGTTTATGGACCGTGTCGACTACCCTGTGCAACAAGCATATAGTCTTGGGGAAAGAGAAGTCACAGTCCGAGATCCTCGACGACTCGCCGAAAGTTCTGGTGTTGTTGTGCTAACGCCTACTGACCACATCCTCGGCAACGTCTACGAAAATCAGGACATCAACGAAATAAACTCGTTTCCTCCTCGATTCAAAGCTACCAGTCAATCAGTTGGCCATGTTATGCGGAAAAGCAATCCGATCAAGCCGTTCGCAAGGTTTGACCCTGCAGCGATGACGCCGCAATTGGCCCATGATACGGATGAGTGGGACGAGTCTCTAGTCCTTTACCGTATAGCTCCTGTATACGATGCTTCTCAGTTGTCTAGTTACATAGCAAACTTGACAGCTAAGGTTTCTTCTAGTGCTGCCGCCCACGCCACCAGTCAAAAGAGGAAACGGAACAATAATCAGGCCTTTGCCATCAAAAAATTCAGAGGCTCGCCATTTGTTCATCTTTTCGGTTCTAAACCATAACCACCCGTCTCCCGATCTATTTAGTATGTGGATACCCAAAATCACTGTACCAAATATTTGGCGCCACTCTTTGGTGCTTGCAACACCCTCGTGTCTGCCTTGTTCCCCTTTGTCTCGGACCATATCCCAGTCCTTTTCGTATTCCTATCGTATAATTATTTCATGATATGCCTGTCATAAAGCCGATATCCCGACGCTTCTCCTCATCCAGTAATACGTCGTCATCGTCGAGGGAGGGTTCACCATCCAAACTCCCCGTAGGGATTTTCACTGGCATGAAAATCAAGATCATCGATGCAAAGCTAACACCGAAAGTTGTCGCTGAGCTCTCGGATATGGCCGAGGAGAATGGTGGCAGGCTCATCGCAAACGCCGACAAAGCTGATGTTGTCGTGACCGAGATTGGATCTAGGATCAGATTAGAGCGCCATATTACATGGGAAGCCGCGGTGAGGAA